TCACATTTACCCTATCTCTAACCCGGTCAAAGCAGCTTTGAGAACAACTGTAAAGGAAATCCATGATTGTGCTAGTAATCTCCCCACAGCTTAAACTCTTAGCACTATTTCTTTAGAATGAAGCCTTTCTATGACCTCTGTTTAATAACTTTTCCAAGTACTGACTGTTCAGTAAAGAAATTGTTTCCATCTTTTCAAGTTACAGGAAACCCTTTTTTACTCTTATCAATAGTGGTGTGTGATGTTAGTGATGTGTTTTTGAAAGTCTAGAATGAGTCACTGTAAAGTCACTGAAAGGACACTAGTTACCACATCTACCCTTCTGAATATACTTCATTTACATTTTTAATGCGGTGTCTTTTGCCATGAAGTAAGAGTTTTAAAGCCTCTCCTGAAAAGAGACAAGTTGTTACCAAGAAAATATTTCGAAGTCAGAAAAGATCAAATTAAGTGTGTTAGGGAAACATCCTATCTTCCAGTGATTTTTAGTAGAGATGTTATCTGACAAACAGACAGTTGTCTATTGTGCCTGGAGTTTGACTGCCTGTGTAAACTTTTCTTTTCCTGTGTTTTTAAGTTCACAGTTATTAAAATGAAAACAACCCTAGATGTTTTCTTATTATTTAAAACAGCTTATTTTATTTGTATGTATATTTCCTTTCCTATCTGATGTGCTAATTGAGTGTTTTAGAAAAGTTGCACTCCTCTTGGGATGAAACACCTGCAGCTGGAATTTGATTACACTGGTCTTCTGTATCTTAAACTTTGATCAAACAGCAAAAGCCGGCTTAAGGCCTCCAGTGTTTTTCAGGTGCTTTCTGGTGATTTATTTATTCGTTGTATAAACCCTTTCTTATTATGAGTTCTAAACTTGATTTTGGGAGGCCATTATACAGTAATGGTTTCAGATATTTTAAATCAACTTTTTTTTTTTTTTTAAGCAGTCTGTCCCTGCACTCGTGTTGCCAGCTATACATCCTGGCCTGACGCTAAATGAGTTTGAAAGGTCTCCACGTGTTCAGGAGTTCTCAGTAGCATCAGGTGGCTTTTTGAGACTAGCTGTTGCTTCTTTGCAAGATGCTTTTTTCCTAGAAAGCCAGACAAAAGAGGATTTAAGTGTGATATGAAAACCATGGTTCTCAGTTGATAGTTTTTGGCGAGGAGAATATTTTCTCATTTTAAGGAGAAAATTTTTGGAGTGTAGATTTTTCTTCTCAAGAGCTCTTGAGTGTAACTCTTAGTATGCACACAAGTACAGTCACTCTACTACTTCGCAGCAGGATGAGAGAGGTGAGAGCTTCCAAAACTGTGAAGGGGCCTAAGTGAGTTGTGTTTTAGCAGCAGGTTTTTTTTGATCTATAGAGTTCATTTCCTGCTTCGCTGCCCGTGCTACTCCCACTATATACACAACCTCTGGGCCAGGGGGTTGGATTGTGTATTGGCTGAGTACACTGCTACAAGCACCTGTCCCTAGGGTAGAGGTGATAGCTGCCACGAGAGTGTTTGTTACCCTGATACAGATTTCTAACCCTTGTGGTGCTGTTGGAGCTGGTCTGTCAGAAGAGACTAAAAAGGAGCAGTTAAAAATCTTGAAAAGCAGTGAAATCAGGATGATGCATCTTTAATTACAGCGTAACACCAATTGGCATTGCTTTTCTAAAAATCCTTTTGGGAAGAGGAGGTAGGCACTGCAGTGGTGCCAATACACAGATGCAGTATGCCAGGGATGTGGGTGTAGAGAGTCATTCACATGTGACTGCAGGATGTTTTAAACAAATTCCTACATTCTAGAATTGGTCAGCTTTCAGTATTTTGCAATTCTGATAATACCCACACTTTGCTTATTTATATGTTCTCTGATTTTTTTTCTCTGTATATTAATTTTAAATTTTAAATTAATATGATTTGCCTAGCAACCAGGTAGTTTTTGTGTTGTGACTTCTTCTCCAAATATCACAGATTTGTTATAATAGTGCTCCCCCTCACTCTCAACCACCAAAAACCGAGCCAGCAACCCGCATCCTATGTGAATGACTCTAGATTTAAAAAAATTTAACATGGAGATTACTATTCTCTTTAAAAAGGTGTGGCATTCATACCTTAAAGACTTCTAAATTGTAAGTGGAGTCTTAACATTCAGTTTTGAACCCATACTGTTGATTTGAGTGCTTTCCTCAGAAGTACAGAGCTGCTCAAGCACAGTAGTCCAAAACCATTCAAGCATAGGATACAAGTAATGCAGAGTTAAATGTCCAGTTCCTACTAAAGTAAATGCCACAGTAGGAAGCATTAAATAAAATTAAGCTGCATGAAAGCAATTTAATTTTTCTTATGTCAGTGCAGCTGTGGTAACTGGTAGTATGGCTTCACCTTGACTACTGTGTGCAGTCCTGGGCTCCACTATTTCAGAAGGTCCTTGAATGTGTGCAGAGGGTAATAAGGCTGGTGAAAGGGATGAAAAGAAAGTCCTGTGAGGAGTGGCTAAGGATTTTGGACTTAATTTAGTTTGGAGAAAAGGAAGCTGAGGGGTGATGGTGTCAAGTTCCCCTAATGAAAAACTACTGTTAAAGGATATTACTACCAAATTTAAGTTCCTCACATTCAAATTTGCCTTTGATTAATGAATGCTCATCAGAAGGTGGGAATTATTTGCATTAAGTTCAGATTACGTTCTAACATGACATGTCACTGGAAGGTGAAACAATTTAGAAGATCATAATAATAGTTTGTACTTGTATAAAAATGTATGTATTGATGAGAAACATCAGACTCATTTCACAGTATTAAAGAATATTGGGTAACTTAAAAATCATAATGTGACAGATAAAACTTTTTTGTTCATTAGATATGTAGGTAAGCTTTCAGCTGTCTACTTATTATTTATTCTCTAAATTAGATTTTTTTGATAGAAATTAAAATATATTTTAATGCTGTGTGTCTGACTCCTGCATGTTTTCCAGTGGTTTGCTACCACACTTGCAGAAGGATCTTTAAAAGACAATGGCATGGTCAACTTAGTCGACTATACTTTTCTGTTGGCCAGGGATGAGCAGCAGCTGTAAAGAAGACTCTGATATCTTGTTGTAATTTTTTTTTTATGTTATCCTTCCAATTTATCCACTGTAGACAGACTTGGTAGCCCACAGAACATGGGATGATTTAACTAGGAAGACCATTTTTTTTCCAGCAAGTTGAAAGGATCAGCTTCTGATCACTTGCATTTTGAATGTTGCAAGAGGAAGTTACAGCATGACCTTTTTAAAAGTATGTTTGTAGAAAATGCCATTGCAGGGTTACTTTTTTTTTGATGAATTGCTAGCTCTACAAAATCTGTAGTTCTGAAAGGAAAACTGAAACTTACTTGTCTTGCAGTAATAATGGGCATCTTGCAAGCCAAGCTTATGCCTTCCATTCAGCTCTAACTGACTGTAGCTACAGTTCTTCCATGAGCAAATAGGCATTTTTCTGTAATATCTGCATTGTAGTCTTTACAATGTTATTCTTAGAATAAAAAGTAACCATAACACCACTTAAATGTAATGGAAGTGTGGAATTACCATATGATATATGCTAACAGCTTCCAGCTATTTGTGTGCCAAACCCAACCTGCTAAATGTTACTGCTTCAAAAAAATTATTTTTTGAGTAATTTTGTGATGCATACCTCACTGCAAGAAAAACAAAGCCTGAAAAAAAGAGATATTGCTTCGATATTGCCAATACTGACAGTGTTCTAGATATTTCTCTCCACCCAGCAAAAGGATTTGGAAGGTAGCATGTTATCTCTCCTCATAGTTTTGTCCTGGGGTTTATATTTCAGAGAGATATTTTAAAGGAACCTCTCCATTAAAGCTTTTTGTCTTATACTTTGATGAATAGTTAACACTTTTCATTCTAAAAGGTGTTTAACCTCTCTTTGCTAATGACTATCAATTTGGCTGTTGAAGTAAATTTGCTTTCTTCGAGTGTAATTAAAATTTCAGCAAAATGAGCTATAGGTAGAAAAACAAGATATTCCCATTATATTTTTATTTCTGTAATACATTGCTTGTATGTGATTTACAGTCAAGGTAAAGAATTTTATAAAACCAAGGTGCTTGCACTCTCTAGAGCTGGTGGCTGCTTCACAAATTACTTAGATAGAAAAAGGCAAGAGCAGAGCTGTTCTGCATTTTATTAGTAGCAAGTAGAAGACATGGAGTGCATTCCTCATCAGGGTGATTATTTATCTCAGATCTGCCAAGTTTGGTTCAGTCACATTAGGATTCCCTTTAGGGACAAGATGGAAACCAGTGCTGCAGGCATTCAGTGCAAGTGAAGTCTTTTCAAGCATTCTGAAATATAGGAGCTGCATTTGATTGCCAAATTAGGGAAATGTCATATTCATCTTAATCTATTGTTTTGTTTGTTTTATTTTGTTTTATATTTGCCAGTTTTTCTGTATACCTCTTGAAGCATTGGTATTAGGGGACATTCATTTATACTATCTGGAACTCCTACATGACAAATACCACAATATTTTGGGTGTTACAATTCTTCTTACAGGACAAAAGCTTGAAATATGTAGTGTTTCCCAGTGTGTGTCCCACAATGCAAGGAAAGAATTGTTTAACTGGAGACAAAAGAAAATGTCTTATTGCTAAATGTGAATTTTACATTAGTGAAAATAAAATACATTGTGTTCCATGTATTGACAGTGTTCTGTAGGAGTGGTTTACTCAAATGTATTTTGATGTACATAGGATGTGGATTCCACCTGTGAAGCTGTTACTTCTTTGTGCTCATCCATAAAATCCTGCCTTGTACTATTAAGAGAGTTACCTTGGTCTGAGCCACTGTCACCTCTAGATACCTGCTGTAACTTCAACCAAATGAAAGTGCTGGGTGGTATCTGGGGATAGCCTCTGTTCGTGACAAAAATATGCAGACAGTTAAAATAAGATTTTGAATATAGTAGATCTTTGAATAATTTGAATATGATTCCTTTTTTAACCAAAACAGAAAGAAGAAGGAAAAATTCAAGGGCAGCTTAATAAATCTGATTCTAACCAGTACATCAGAGAACTGAAAGATCAGATAGCTGAGCTGCATCATGAGGTGAGTGATATTATACTGCAGTCCCTGATCACTTGTACCTTTTGTCCTTTCACCTGTGGCAGGTTTTATTTATTTAATACTTATTACATCTTCAGTGCCTGTTTTTGCTGAAGTACATTATTTTAAATGAATGCAATAAAACTCTTATACATGAATCTTGCCTTTATCTTGGAATGTAAGAGAATAAAATAGTGATTACTTTTGTAATTTGACATTAAATGAGATTGGCATTTATGATCCATCTTGGCTTTTTCCTTAATTTCATTAGTTGATCATATTCGTGTTGCATTTACTCCATTTGGAACTGCATATATGAAAATAAGCCCCTTGATGTCTTTATTTGCTGCACCTGTTAAGGCCACTATAGTTAGAAACTAAACCTCACTTGTGTAAGTAGAAGAATTCATGTGCAAATTTTCTGGGTCTTGCTGTTGCGAGGATGAATTTTATGTGGTAGTATACTGAGATTGCTTAAAAAAAAAAAAAAAGGATGCTTGCTTAATATCAGTTAACAGATTTTTAACTTTTAAACTGCCAAAACCTTCAATCGATGAAATTTCTGTCTTCAAACTTCCTTGCTCTGATAGTTGTAGTAACTTTCTGTTAGTTAAAAAGATCAAAAGGGCTTGAAACCGAAATGGCTTATGTAACTCCTGTGCTCACTGGCTCATTTCAGTTTATGCTGCATTGTGAAGAAATGTCTTTACCTAATACTCCACATGTGCAAAATGCCTGGTCATCTTTGCAGTAGAGTCTCTTTCTAGCCTTTTCATACACAGCTCTGAGAGTGTTGCTTAAAACCACCAATTCAACCTAATTGTTTGTTGCCTTTTTGCTTTTATTAAATAAACACATCCTTTCTTTAAGTGTAGATAGTGTTTTCATAACAATCTGAGTAGATCCAAGCTTTTAGGATCAATCCTTGAGACTTATAACACAGTTGAGGATCTTGGAATGTTGTCTATGCTATAGATCACTATGCTATAGATGGAGGATAGTCTCTAGGGTCATCAGTCCAGCACCTTTACCAATCATTAAGCTCACTTAAAAACAGATTTAAAAATCAATAACCTGGCTTTCTCCATTAAAGCACTCTAATTAGTTTTCTTTGTTGCTTGCTTGAAGAATTCCCAGAAAGCCAGATATTTAGTGTATTTTTGCATTATGAACAAAATAAGGCACTGTTCTGACTTTTTCCTCTGCTCACTGTAGGTTTAAAGGTAAGAAACACTGCTTTGGGGGAAAAGTAGAATTTCTCTTGGAAAGCTGTTGCATAATTTTCTCTGTACAATCATCTGTTATGTGCCTGGCTGAGCAACTGAATTGTCATGAAGGCAGGCAAATCGTACATCTTTAATGTGTATAAGTTAATGTGAACAGGTTGGAAAGAAGATAAGAGAAGATGTTCATAAGCTCACAGAATAATGATAACTCTAAGTAATACCAGTGATTTCCTAAACAGTTCATTCTAGTCAAATCTTTATCAGCATTTCAATTTGGCTGAAAGGAAACGCTGTGAAGAGCATGCATTTCAACAATAGCAGAGTTTGAGTAATTCCATGTAGAAGAGCATTCCTCTTTCAGCTATGTGCTTTGTGGTGGCTAAATTTTTAATTTCCAAGCTAGGTAAACACTATAGGAAGGAAATTATTCTAGGATATATAGGAACAATAAGAAGAAATGGCTTGACTTGATGATTTTACAGATCTTTTCTGACTAATCATTCTATCATTTTATGAAACTCTGTATGTAATAGGCGTGTGCTACCTTGGCAGCATTCTGCATGCTTCTTTACACAGACTATATTCAGGCCTGGAAGTCTTTGTTTACTAATGACTTATTTTTCCCTTTCCCCCTTACTGTTGCCTATTTATTTGTCTAGTTTTTAAATAAAATCTTAAGAGGGAAAGCAGTGTTTCGTCAAAAAAGCAATATCTGAAGAAAATGGCAACAGGAAGAGGCAAAAATGTTTGGTCTCATCTGCTAAATGTTAGAAGTTTAATTCAGTCAATGCCAGTTAAATAAACAACTTCCTTAAATCTGCGCTGAAGTGTCTTCATGCATACATCCATTAATGGCCATGTTCTTTGTTTTTTGGCTAGCTGCTTTCTGATTCTACTTCTGCAAAAGCTAAAAGAAACGTTACACATTTGCAAATGCATCTTCCTGAAGATAGGGTGATGGTGTATGTGACATGCTGACCACAATCTCCCAGCTGGTTAGCATGTAAAAGGCACTGGAAAAGGAACAGAGCTCTTGGTGACTGTATGGTTACCTTCTAATACATTGTAATTGTGTAACTTTAAACTGCACATAAATGGAAATGTTAATTAAAGCAAAACTTATAATTTAAGGTAAGGGTGGGATTGATATGTGTTAAACAAGTTGAAATGTCTTGGCATGGCCATCAATGTTGATTGTGCTTATTTAACTTTTTTTTGCCTCTCCAGCACTGCAATTTTACAGATTTTTACACCAGAAAAGTTGCAGGTTCTCCATCTGAAGAACGGAACAAAATTGTGACCAAATCTTGCATTGAATACAAGTAACTGCTGACTAAGTTCATCTTCTGGCCTTGGGATGAACACTATTGCATGCCTTTGGCCAGCAGTATGAATGTAAATGTGTCAGTGGAGCCTGGAGGAGCTATATACTTGAATTCAATTCTCTGATATTGTCCATCAGATGGCGATGATACCAAGTTGTGGCAACAGCATGATCCATCCTAATTGCAGAATTCTTGTGAGAGGTCTACTGTTCCATCAGTGTTTGCAAAGCAGGCTAGTAGCCAGGCACAGGGAAATCTAGAGTATCAGAGAGGAACACCAGTAAGGACAGCAGAGAGTCACTATTACTAAGCAGTGTCTGAGGGTGAATTCTTCACTAAAAGGTGGGTTGGGGTTGGGAGTTTGCTGTGGTAGAGGTGCAACAAGCTGCTGCTGTACCATCTCGTGACTTTCAGGGTGAGAAGAGTTTGGCCCTTAGTATTCAGATATTTCTCTCACTCATTCCAATGTGATAGCCTAAATCAGCTATGTGTTGGAAGTCTGCATGCTGTAACAAATGCATCAATCAAATTAAATGAACCAATGGATTCAGACTACAAAGTGCAATTGTTTGGAAGTTTTTGTAAGTATAAACAACTTCTGAAAAATAAAATTAATTTTGGTCATCTTTTGCTGAGCTCAAAATTTTGCATGCTTCTTAAGAATAATGCAGCTTGCAGCCAAAAGGATAAATTTCAGCTGCTTTTATTACTCACCTAGGAATAGTAATGCTACAGTCAGTCTTCAAATAATGTTATTGGAAGACTTATTTGTAGTAAATTCAAGTTGTGTTCCTGTTACTGAATAAAACTGCACATACTGGAAATCAGCAGTATGGCACCCAAAACTGAACTGATGAGCCCCACTGGTATTAAATGTATATGGTAATTAAATAGAAAAAGATGCCTTTTTTTCTTAACATTCAAACACTGCAAAATAACTATAAATGGAACTATTTGATTTTTGGCTTGTTCTAACAAGCTGTGTGCCTGATTTCTTTTATACCTAACCAGAGGATTTCTGTAGCGTGGTAAGCTGAGTTGAATATTAACTACTTAAGTCTTAAACATGTAGTTGATAAACACTTGAGAAGAACAGAGAAAATGTGGAGCTTTGAGAACATTACAACCAGAAGTTGTCAACTTCTGCTCTACTAGGCTCTAGACTTCTGTAAACTTCTGCTTTACTGATGAACACTGCAGTGTTAGGTTAATGGTTGGACTCTGTAGAGGCCTTTTCCAACCTTTACAGTTCTGTGGGTCTGTACAGATTGTCTTAAGTCTATTTACATGCACCTCTTTCTTTACACTGATTTGAACAACCAAATATGGGTTAGAATATAAATATGAAGTATAATTTGTAATGTTATGTAAAATAGTGAATTAATTCTTGAATTCCTCAGTGCAACCATAACTCCCCTCAGAAATCAAATACATGTGGTTCAATTATTACTTATTTGCGTTTTGAATTTTAGTAAACATATCTGGTTTTATACTCATTTGCTAGAAAGTTACTGACAGCTGTCCTATAATCTTTTACACAACCTATCAGTATCCAAAGAACAGCTGATGCATAATGAAAGGACACTCAGATTGAAGTATTTCTAGTTAGCCAGTAGCTAATCCCATGATCAGTCATGTATATTAAGTGCTGTACTTCCTTTCCTCTTTATTGGCTGAGTTTGTGATATATTTGGCACAAAGTTGTTAGGTGGTTGTGACTTATTACTTTATTGTTGAAGGCTGAAACTCTTGTGAAAACCTGAAATGTTGAGGATCATCACAAACATGATGTCATGATGTAAACTTCTTTGAGAGCTTTCAATTTGTACCAGCCTTAGACACTCTGCCTTTTCAGAATCTCGTGTTCAGTTGCCATTTCTTCTTTTCATTAATTGAAGTCTTTCCAGCAAGCATTTTCCTTCTTTTTCCTTTTCACCCCCATTCTTAAAGGTATCTCTGCAGCATTCTTGACTTCTAGCTTAGCAAGATTTTAACTTAAAATGCTTTCTCATTGTGCAGCACCAATAGGCTGCAGCTTCAGTGAAGCAGCTGTTGTTACTCCTGTCAGTAAGTACAGAAGCTTGTCTGCCCTCTGTTTGGCACAGGAGAAATAAGGTCTAGTGATCAGTCTGTTCTGTCACTTGACCTCCCAGTTCACGTGCTTTAACTGATGTAACATAAATGGCTTGAGCACACAGACCCTTTAAGGTTGTCCTGTGCTTAGCTACTTTCAGGCTGCACCAGGATTGCTAGTATTTCACAGAAGTTGCCTTGGTTAGATACAGCAATGTTATGTGAAAGCAACTTGTATGAAACATTTTTACTGTTCAAGAGAATAGATCACTAAGTAGGTAGTGCTGAAGTAAAGCTGTTGAGCTATGTGGAAATGAATACATTGCAAGTTTGGCCTGTTACAAGTTTCCATTAAGTAAATTTGAAGACTTAAGAAAAA